CCCCAAAACCCCAAAACCCCAAAACCCCACAAGGGTATCTTAGGAAGGAAATAAAACAATTAATAATAAGAAATGAAAAGCCCAATGATACCCCTTCAAGTAGAAGCTTTCAGTGCTGTTAAGTAAGACTTTAGACATTGCTTGGATTTTAAAACGATTAATTATTTACTAAAGACGTTTATTAGTATTGATAGAGTATATAAAGGATGTTAGAGCACTTTAATGTCCATTTTCTGACGAATGTTTACTTATTCCTTGCTTCTTGCCTTATTCACAGAAAGAAGATTTTCAGGATTATGTTTTTGGTTCTATCTTAATGCAAAGCTTTAGCCAGGACTTTCTAAACTTTACTGCATGGTTTGTGTTGTTGTGTAAATATTAGGAATTAGAAACAATGCAATCTTTAAGGGTGAATCATTATTCTTGCTTACAATGTCTCCAGTACAATCTGAGACTGATTGGTGTATTTTAAATACTATTCAACTGATCTAACCTAACAATTTTGATTTTTTTTAGTTAAGCTGATAATATAGAGAAGAGAAAGTAATTCTTGAAGAGAGTAATAAAATTGGAAGAATGCTTGCAAACAGTTCATATTATAACTCGTTTAAAGCAGAATTAGAGGATGGAGATTCATCTTCAGTTGCAAACTTTGAAGATGAAATTGTGAGTTCAAACCTTAGTTTTTATTTTCAAGATAATAGAGGCTATATAAAGAAAACTCCCTTTATTGATTCGTTCAGCTTCAATAAGCTAATTTGAATTGGGATGAAAAGACAAGATAAATATATTGATAAAATGTTAAACTCTTGTTTTCCTTGAAGTGTAAATAAGCTTAGGATTTTAGCTCTTAATATATCGTGAGCTTCCATATCAAGTTATTTACATCAACTAGCTAGAATCAGTTGCAGAGTCCAAAAGGATATATATTTAACTCAATTTCAAATGAATCTTCCTCAGTTGAAGAGATTCATATCAGCTTTTAAGCACACTAAAAAAATATGCTTCCGATTTTGAGAATTTGGAATATTTGTTCCTCCTGATTTTTCAAAATCTCTGAAAGGCACTAAAATCCAATATCTTAATTTCACCGGATGAAATTTTATAAAATCAACTGATTTAAAAACTAACCAAGAAGGATTTGAAAATTTAATTCAAGGGCTGTCCTCCTCAGATTTCCTCCTCAGCATCAGAGAAATACTCACCCTATACTGTCAGATCGATATGAGCCAAGTAAAATCCATCCTTGACAAGCACAAGCTCAAATGGTTTAAAAAATCTGATCCCTCTCTACCCTAAATTTCTTCTAATTTCAATCTACTTCCATCTCCCAGGGGTTTTGGGGTTTTGGGGTTTTGGGGTTTTGGGGTTTTGGGG